CCTTTTTACCAATATGTCCCGCCAAACTGGATGGTCTGTCCGGCTATTAGGATTGGCGAAGTGACAACCCTACACCCAAAGAAAAAATCGACTGACTCATTATAACAAAGTAAAATCGTGGAGTCGTCTATGAATTTATACAAAAATTAAATATTGCTGTAACTTAATTCTTTTACTATTTCAAGTAATGTAATCATTCAGTTACCCTTTTTACATTTTTTACACTATTTTATTTACTTATACGAATAAATATTATACGTACTAATACTAATAATGTATAATATTGAATCCAAAATAAAGTATTTTTTTCTCAATGTTACTACATATTTAGTGTAATCAAAAAACTTATTGATTGTCAATAATTTCACAAAAATATTATTTAATTAATCATTGTTGACTGTCCGACTATATGTTGGAGTATCACATAAAAATTTGTGACATATTTTCAACTTTATTTTCCCCGATAAGTACTTTTTATCTGTAGTAAGTCTAGGTAAGCACTTGTCTTTGTAGCTATGGAAAGCAAAACAAAGTAATGGTGAAATATTTGGCTTCGATTATATATACAGGCTGTCCCAGAACTCAATTTCAAGCAGTGAGAGAATTGATTGTAACCATCATGAGAAAAATCAGAAAAAAATCTATTCCATGCAGTTTGAAAATTAGGGGCATTAAAGACAAACTTAGAAATTTGGTCAAACTATAACCATTATTCGGTGATTGGGGTTAATTTTTATTATTTATGTTCATTTAAACTTTGGAACCATAAAGCCAAATAACATTTCTAGAATAATGAAAAAAAAAATAATGACACAATAGCCCCAAGTTTTCTAGAATTTAGACTATTTGTTAAACTATATTTAAAATTTTCATGAATTGTCGAGTTTGAAAGGCCCTCTTTTAAAAAAATGTACTAAAGTGCCTTGGCAAGTGCCATTAAAAGTTCGGACATTTAATCAGGATTGTAAATGTACAATACTTGTTAGTTTCATACTAAAAAAAAACGAGAAAAAAACCTCAAGTAACCCGATTTTTGCTAACCCATTTTACTCCGTTCAAATCTTTCTTATTCACACAAGCTTATAGTAGTAGGTTCTTAATTTTACGGCAAAATGATGAGAGAAATGGGTAGTGGACATGTTGTCGTGAGCGAGCGAGACAGATGTGCCACGCAGTGAGACGTAGATGCGTCGTTTAAACGCTCGCAAATGAAACAGATACAGTCGCCATACCAAGCAAATGGCTACGCTACCAGTCTGACACCAGTTAGTACATTTTGCTCATTCTGTTTCAGCTTCAGCTCAGCCTACTGCGCGTCTTTCCGTATTCGCTGTTGTTGGCTTCTCTTTTTGGGCTTGGATTTTTGTAAATTGAACTTGTTGATTCCATACCGACAACTTTGGGTTGTCTCTTTTGGAATTGGGCTTTTGTGTTGGTATTCTTGTTATTTACTTCACAAAAAATTGCGAACAAGCACCTCATTTATGAGGAATGCAGATGCAATGTAATTGCTGCCGCTAGGCTTTATCGTGAAAGATATCCAAATTTAGAGCGCTATCCAGATCACTGCTTATATGTACCGGCCGCACTCACGGAGGGCGGCCATTTCCCGATTCAAATACGGGCTGGAGGTAGAACTCGCTTTCCTTACGAGGAAGATGTGTTGCAAAAGGTCGCAGATGACCAAAGTATTTTCGTTTGTACACAAACGAAAATACTTTTCTTCTTTTTTCTTTTTTTTTTTCTTTTTCCCGTTCTTTCTTATTGTAATAGCACAGCACATCGTATTTTACAAAGACCCGAAATGCATCCGTTTCACGTACAACGAGTTCAAACTTTTCTTCCTCAATGTTATCCTTATTTGAATAAACCTAAACTAGGTTAAGATTTTTCTTTATTTTAATTATTTTACTTACTTTTGTTGACTTTGGTAAAAGTGGCATCATATCTGTCTCGCTCACTCATGGCAAACATGTCCACTATCCATCTCCCTTATTATTTTGCCGTAAAATTAAGATTCCTTGGTAGGTCCAAGGAAATAAATAAATAAAAAAGTGAAATATTGAAAAGTATTATATAAATTTATTAAAACGTATGTATTAATACGTGAACTTTGTATCCTTTTTACGAAAAACAGCGCGGACGGATGAATATGAAATTTCGCGTACTTATAGTTTATATAGAGAAGGTTTGCAGAATAGTCATATTTTTTTATTTAAATTATGCATAAAAATATAAATAATCATGTTCAAACCTATAATTATTCAATAATTTCATTTGTATGAAGTTAATAGATCTTTTATGATTAGGTTGTAATTGTTCACGTCCTTTTTACATGTAATTAAAACTTAATATTTATTATAATAATTTATAAATTACTGTAAAAGTTTTACTATTTTGTCATAAAGTGTATATCTTTACGTACTTTACTTACATATAATGTTAAATTACTTACGCATTTTTAAAAATATACTTTCTAAAACATAATGAAATAATGTCCACTACGCGTATCAAATAAATAAAATTAAAGTTACATACATTATTGCTAAATTTAGGTTTATTGTATCAAATATATAATATATATAGATTTTTTAATTGATATACCTATCATTGACAGAAACGCAGACTTACTGTCTCTTTTATAAAGTAACTAACCTTCGTATATTTTCACATTTCATTTAACGTAAGTACGTTAATGTAGTATACATTAAAATTTCTAGCTGTTTCATAAAAAATGTCGTTGGCATATAAATAAACGTCGTAATTACCAATTACAATATATACAGAAAACACAAAGATTATTTTTTGGTGTTTCTTTCAAAGATAGTAATAAAAGCACTAGTTTACGTTAATTATAATCACGGGAATATGTAACTCTACCTCAATATTTCTATTTAATTCTTTACTTTAAGAATCTTTATAATTAATTCGTATCGTAGTTAGTTATACCACTGTACCACTGTATTGTAAATTCTAAAATATCAATGTGCCTTCATAAATATAAATTATATAAACAAACAGGAAGACTCCGTAATAGTTTTGTTCAATTGGGGACCGAAGCTTCGTCTACTTGATTCCCGCGTTACATTGCGACACGGACGCGTGTCCGTGATATCGTGGTACGGGGAGAACGAACGAGCGCTGGCGGTCGATCGGCGATACGTAAAACATATTATGTTATCTGTGGTAAAACTATCGGGGTGCATGAGGTGCGCAGACCGCGGGGCCCGATTTTGAAGTAATAGTTTATCACGGCGTCGCCTTAAAAAGCGGTATGATTTTAGTCATTTTCATTATATTAGGAAATTTACCTTCATCTATACATTTATTGAAAATAACAGCAAGAGATACTATCCAGTATTTTAACAGTTATGCCCCATAGATCCTCTGTTTTTTTTTTATTTTTATTATTAAGTTGTTTAAATATTTTCATTATTTCTACTGATGTTGTGTGTCTAAAGTTAAATACAGCTGATGACTTGCTAACATTGTCTGTTAGCACAGTTTCAGCAGCAGACGGAAGATTTTAGAGCCTGTGTCGAATCGATATGTTTCAAGCTTATGGCTTCAAAAATGACGATTCTTCCATTCAATCTCTCATCCCCAATTTCAATCCCTTACAATCCTTTTTTCGCGTTAAAAAGTAGTCTATGTCCTTTCTCAGGGTGTAGACTATCTGTGTACCAAAATTCATTTAAATCGGTTCAGTCGTTTTGGCGTGAAAGCGAGACAGACAGAGTTACTTTCGCATTTATAATATTAGTAAGAATTATGTTGTAGATAGAAAACAAACATGGTTTTTATTAAAAAGTTTATTATTTTTTGTTAAAAAGAAAGTATTTACAATTCATTTTTCATCAATTTACAGTTACTTTTGTACATATATCTAGATGTTTACTTGTACTGACAAAAAAAAAAAAAAAAGACCATCTTTATTTTATACATAAGTACAAAAATAATAAATATAGGCACTTATAAACAGATGGTGATCATAATAGGTCGCTACCAGAGCACTATTCATGTCTCAAGGCTGTACACACACCACGTACTGCCAGACTGTCAATTTTGGTACTCATAGCGGCGTGAGTGGTGACAGTATACTGCGCACCTACATTCCTTAAGTTCCCTGTGTTATTCTCCCTACATAGCAGCTGCCCACATACATAACACACTCGCAGTCGTCGTCATTATCATCGTCGACACTAAAACACGCAAACTGTTGACGGAGGCGTTGTGAGAGAGGGGCACGTGGTCGGTGGACTGCTCACTTGGCAGACCAAATGTTGACGTCAGAGTCCAGGGTGGTGGTGGTGGTGGTGGCGTGGTGCGCCGCTCACGAGCGCAGGTAGTGGCGCGGCGTGTAGACGCGCGTGAGGTCACGCTCGCTCATGGTGGGCACGCGCGGCTTCATCTCCGGTATGATGGCGCTGCCCAGCACCGACAGCCCGTTACTCGTTCTGCACACATTATATGTACATATTATTACATTTTTCCACAATATATTTTAGTAGTGCAATGTAAACAACTATACAGCATTTGTGTACATCTCGGATGTCTATGGTTAAAGTGAGGGGAAAGTTTTTTTTTTTTTTTTATTGCATTCGTCTCTAATTCATATATGCCCTATATATGAATTAGAAGCACTGTATGCAATAATAAGAGATACAAATGTTAATGAAGCATGAATACCATTTCTTTTATTTTTTTCCCACAATAATAATCAAAATTCATCTTCATCATCCAGTGACACGTTTGCCATATTAATCTGTGACATACCATGGTGTTTGTTTTTGCAATGGAAGAAATGTTGTGAGCAGAGGTGTGTTCAGCAGGTTACTAACTTGAGTAAGTTTGGAGCGTCGTCGGGCAGCCAGCAGTGCAGGGAGTACCCCCGACGAGTCTGAAACAACCGCCTTCTGGATGTAAATATAACTAACATTTAGCGAATGGTTACCTACTTCCCTACTCGTACTCGCGACTACTTCTTATATAACTGCAATGACAATCCGACTGTGGAACCACCTGATGGAAAGTAGCAACCGTCGCATATGCATGAACAGCACTACGATAATCATGTCACCAAGAACAAACAGTACAAAGCACGATGTTTGGCGGAAACATACGGCACGGAAATACGAGGGGAACCGAGTGGGATGGATATAAAATAAACGGATGGATGAGCGTGACATGTGGCAGACAACATCCACGTTACGAAGCCACAGCAGTTTAGTATTCAACGCAAGCGGTGCAAGAGTAGCGAGTGCACGTTCATTATAGTCCATTTGGTGATATAATTGCCGTGTATGAGCGACACTTGTCATTTTTTTTTTGCCAGGGCAGGGCTGCTACCTACTTTGCCGAGTGTTACTAAAGATATAACAACACAGAACAGTGACATTTTACCTTCACTGAACTCTTCATTTTGCTGCGCGATGCGCGATACGTCTCCAGGTCAGGCAGAGGATCATTAGATTTCTTCTCACTCTTTGTCGCAAGAATCGAAGAACCTGTGTAATTAACAAGAAAAATTGACTCGAACCTTGTCTATTATGTTCGGCGCTACAGTTATAGTTTAGATGTAATCCAATTGTTGTGCAAATATGTCCACCCACCTACACAGGATGGCGTGGAAGACTAACCCCACCCCCAGTAATCCCCAGACACGCAATAATTAAAAAGAAAGGTAGTGGAGCTAAATATGGCCCTGCTGTTTTTTCAGCATACCTCAGTGGCGCCCTCTATGAACTTTGTTAGTATGGTTGGTGAGGACCACAGATAACATAATATTACATACAGATACCCCATCCCATACAAGAAAATGGTTCCTTCCTAACTCGGGCTATTCTTCGGGCTATTTTATTTCGCCACCGTAGCCGCTAGATGTCTCTAGATCTGAAGCAGTTCGGATTACTAGTGGGTGCTTAGTAACAAAGCATGAAAATAGATGGCAGTCAATTCAGTCTACATGACATCTGTTTTGCAAAGATATGTATATAATAGATATGTAGGTAACTGTATCGTGTACCTCATTAGGGACGATTCAAGATTCAATGTAAATGTGTAGGTATAATATCGTTAGCCGACACTCTGCAGATATGGCTTATGTGCCAATGTATATACCTATTATGTTATGGTTTATTTTACATTCCATGCCTATTTTTTTGATATGTTGTAACGCGTCTGCGCTATACGTATAGCCCGATTTTGATACTTTTATACTCGTACGTATCAAAATCGGGCTATATGATTTTTTATTTCAATCGTTATAATCGTTTAAGAGACTGGTTTTAGCTACAATTAATTTACTGGTATATACTTCATGTATTCTACGATGTACCCCTCTTTTCCCTAATGAGAATTCCGCTATATCTTATATATAAATTTTGTATCACAGTGTTAGTTGCCATATTTCTCCCACATTTTGATGAAATTTGATATGTATACTTGCCAGGTCTGAGGTAGGGTTGTTATCTATTTTTTATACCCCTAAGTCATAGGGGTGGCCTACCCCGAAAAAATATTTTTTTGTATTATGGACAATTTTTTATTTATTTATAATGTTACATTGAAAATACATACACGCCTAAATTTTCACCCGTCTTTCACCAACCCCTATTTTTAATAGCGATATTCTTACAAATATTATAAATGCTAAAGTAACTTAGTCTACTACGCCAAAACTACTGAACTGATTTAATTGAAATTTGGTAGAAAGATAATGTAGACCCTGAGAAAGGCTACTTTTTAATGCGAAAAAGTATTGAAAGGGGAAATGAAAGGCTATATGAGGATATCGTAATTTTTAAAGTCAGATCTTGTAAGATTAAGTGAACCTAGACCAAGGTTTTTCATTATTGGGGCGTGTGGTCGGGCAACCTCCTAGTATGGGCCTGCCATTGGGAGGCTTCCCCATCCTCGTGGATACGTCCGCGGGGAACGGTGGCCGAGCAATGGTTTGGTTCTGGTACGCCCCGGGCGGGATAGTAGACGTTCCTTCGGGATACTGCTACTATGTCGGCCAGTAGCCCGGCGAGTAGGGGGTGGGCGCTGCCTATGGCGTTCGTCCAATAAAAAGTGGTGGTGTACAGCTTCGGCGTAAAATTAGAATGAATTGTTGGGTAGGGAGCGGGCGTCGTTTTCGGCGTTCGTTCATAGCTTAGGGTAGAGTAGGTGGTGGGTGTCATATTTTGCACTCACCTAAAAAAGTGTAAATAGTGTAAATAATTAGGTTTAGTTTAGGTTAGTTTTTGTAAATATGTAAATAGGTTTCTTCTTCTTCTACTTTTTGGTTTTCTTCTTTTTATATTTTGTTTGTTTTGTTTTGTCATTTTTGACTATTCTTTACCCTATCCTAATATTCTTTCTATCCCTTTAGTTTGTTTCTTTTTCTTTTCTTGTTTCTTCTTCTGCGGGACCTCACCCGGGTAAAAAAGGAAACAGAAGACCATGGCAGAAAGTCAAAAACAAAATATACCCCAGGAAGGTACCAGCTCAGCTGGAGAATCCTTCCCCACCGCACCGGATTCGCCGGGGGTGGGCAGTCCCATGTATTCTGGGGGGGACAGCTTATGCCGTGAGTGGGGAGAAGTGGAGTGTGTGGACGATGAGAGAGAAAGGCGAGAGATGGTCGAGAGGATCCTCGTAGAGATGGAAGGAGAAGTGATGGAGGGGTTGGAGTCAGACCTGACGGGTTCGAGTCTCTCCTTGAATTCAGGGATTGAGACCGACCTGGCAGAGACACATGAGACACCCAAACCACAGCGTAGGGTGTCACAAAGAAAAAGGAGAATCGTCGAGAAAACACAGCTCGATTCCGACGATGACACGCCGCAAATTATGGTTGTGGCGCCAAAACCAAAGGCGACGAAGAAGACGGCTCCCGCTAAGGTGAGCACTACCGGACGTGACAAGGAGAAGGAGGTGGCGCAACCTGTCGCCGGAACATCCAGGCCTCTGCCGCATGCTGGTGGTATATCCCACCCGAAGACACTGCAGCATGCGGATAAGCTCGGGGCCGAGATCGAGGAGGGGGTTAAGGCGATCCTTGAAGAGATTGCCAAATCCAAGAATTTGAAAGGCGGAGTGATAAAGAGTATCAAGGACGCTGCCAAGACCATCCGGGCGGCGACTGAAACTCTGGTCGATAGAACGGCTACAGTGGAGTGTGCGGAACTCCGTAGAGAGAACGCCCGCCTAGCACAGGACCTGGCGAACCAACGCCAGCTCCTGAATTCTATGCGTGACGAATGTGGGAAGATGCGCAAGGAGATGATAGCCCTTCAGCGCCAAGTTTATTCTTCCCCGGATGCGCAGGTGGGTCGTCTACAGACGGCTAATGAGAACTTGGAGCGCCAAGTACAAGAGTACTGCTCCGAGAACGTCCGGCTGAAGCAGCAGGTGATGGCAGGCAACTGCGAGCTGCGGAAGCTGAGGCGAGAGGCGGAGAAGACTGCGACTGAAAAGCCGCCACAGTCAGAACCCACTCCTATGGAGACACCGGAGGAGACACCGGCCCCTACAACATCAGTGGGGCCCGCGCCGGCGGAGGATGCAGAGAGCCGGTTAATAAGGCGAATTGGGGAGCTCTTCAACCCCCGGTTTGCCAAATTGGAGGAAGGCCTACTTCAGGTCCAAGGGAAGAAGCCGCCGCCCAAACCGGGCGTGCCGAAGAGCACCCCCAGGCCGCCTGTTAATCGGGCAGCTGGTACGGGAGCAAAGAAGGGCTCGCTTAGCCAGCCGGCACCAGTCGCTAGGGCTGAACAACCAGAAGGAGCGCCACCGCCGTCCAACGTCAACAAGGAGGGATGGGCGACGGTAGTACGGCGCGGAAAGAAGCCCCGAGCGACAATCACGCAGTCGGCTCCTGCCACTCAGCAGAACACCGCTGAGTCGGCCGCCGCTTCCCAACAGAGTGCGGCGAAGAAGAAGGCCGCGGCAGAACGCCGCAGGAAGAAGAGGCGGCTGAAGCCTCCAAGCTCGTCGGCGATCGCTATCACGATCGAGCCGGCGGCGGAAGAGTCAGGGCTGACGTACGAGTCGGTGCTCCGAGAGGCAAAGGAGAAGATCTCCCTAGCTGACCTCGGTATCACCGACCTCCGGTTCCGGCTGGGTGTGACTGGGTGTCGCATCCTAGAAGTGCCAGGCGCCGACACCGGCGACAAGGCGAATTCGCTGGCAGCGAGGCTGGCGGAGATCGTCCCAGGAGGAAGCGTCCGGGTCACTAGGCCGGAGAAATCCGCCGAACTACGGATTAGTGACCTGGACGACTCGGCAACCGCCGATGACGTCGTCGCCGCAGTAGTGCGGCAGGGGGGGTGCGCTGAGTTGAGCGTGAAGGCGGGCGAAGTCCGGCGCACTCCCTCTGGTGTGGGCACAGTCTGGGTGCGATGCCCAGTCGCTGCAGCCAAAGCCCTGATCGAGGCAGGTCGGGTGAAGGTAGGTTGGACGATGGCTCGGGTGCAATCACTCGACCCGAGACCCATGCGGTGCTACCGGTGTTTGCTCACGGGTCACGTGGGCCGACGGTGCACTGCGGGGGAAGACTGCAGCGATAAATGCTATCGCTGTGGTCAGGGTGGCCACAAGGCCGCGAGGTGTGCCGAGCCATCGCCAAAGTGCTGGTACTGCGCTGCGGCTAACCGCAAGTCGGACCATAGAGTCGGCAGCACTAAGCAGTGCCGCTTGCCAAAGGCCAGAGCCGCAGCCGCGGCGCAGGTTACCGGCGGGGGGGGGGATTCGATGGACACCTGAGTCTGATCAGTGTGGGCATCGAATCCATACTTGACCCTAGGGTGGAGGATTGTTAGGGCAATCCGAAGCTCACCGGGGAGGCATTAGGGTCTGGGAGGTGGCGTGCAGAGACTGTTCCCTGCACGCCTAGATGGAAGGTCCCTTCGATGGGAACCATGCCGGTGGTCTTGGAGAATGCCTTGTGCGATCCCATGGCCACGGCGATTATGTCGAGGAGGAACAGTCGTCAGGTTTTTAGCAGGTAGGAGTCCGGCAGTATCCATTCTTCCCTAAGGGAATGGTTCTCCATGATGGATTTTCCTGACGTAAAAAAAAAAAAAAGGTTTTTCATTATTAGAAATGTGTAACGGGGTAACACGTTATTTAGTGCGAAATTGTGTATATTACAATAAAATTTAACGAGAAAATATTATAATGATGTCACTGGGACACTCATTGCCTTACTACTATATCGTCCGTTAGTCGGGAACTTTCTGGAAACACGAGAGGCGCGCTCCTATTGGTTAGTAGATGAGGTAGACGAGTCTCACGGCGCCGCAGCGTAAGTACTTACTATACATACGTAGTATACATATGGGTGTTACAAATGTTTTTATTACGAATAATATTACTCTGTTATCTAAGCAAGTAATGTGTGCTTATTTTGAACTTGATAACATTCTGAATTACTCGTATATCTTTCAATATCTTTAGCGGTATAAACCAGGTTATGTACTACTACTAGTATTGTTAGTGAGGGATAAAGTTGATGAACAAA